CAATACTAATCAAAAATGTGATTTCTCAATTAATATATTATTCTTATAATATATTAATAAATCATAATTAACCTCTTTCTCTATAATTCATCCTATCAGTTGCTATGGTGAAGGCAACCTAAAAGGACCATGCTACTATCGGGTAAAGTACATACCAATTATAGTTATGGGCTTAGAAGCCTAATCCAACACTAAGACCTTATCTCTATCCCTTCCTAGGATTTAGTAGAGAACCCCGGAGCATCGTAAATCCCCGAGAAGAAGAGCTTTCGGCTCAGAATTTCTGCCCGTGCAGAGCCCAGTTTCTCGCTAAACCACACGTAAGTTAAGTTATGCTTATCGTACATTAAGTATAACTTATGTTTAAGTTCATTATCATTATTATGAACCTATAAAAAAGATTTATTATTGAGTCCAAGTCATTATACTGATTGATCTACTTATGGGGAAGATGTCTATGCTGGATTTAGTGAGGTGTTTAAAGTGGGATTTCCAAACAGTATACTTCGTATACCAAACGGACCCTACCTCCGATAAGATCCTACCTGGTTGTTCCTTACTTGATAGATCTTGAAGTAGACTTTGAGTTAATGATGAATCTATAATAATAATTAGTCGCAATAAATATTAGACTAAAACTTAGTGATAATGATACTAGGTTTCGTCAAAGGAAAAGACAATTGCTAGAAGCGAAGCGCTGCCCGAATTTCAAATCGTCACTTTAACAAGTAAGTGTGTAGTCCCTTTCATGAACATGATTTTAATAAAAGTATTAATAAAAGTATTAAATATATGTTGAAAGTTTATATGTGAGTTATATGCTTATTATCGTGAAATATGTGTTATATGTATATTTGATAATATACGCTATGCGAACCAGACATGGTTCCATATGTGTTGAGATGTATTTACAGGATAATAATAATAGAAGTATTATAAGTTAGAAGATATATTTATGTTAATACTTAATACTTCGTATAAAATATTACACTAAATTAGGATAGTGTTGCCGAAACAGAGTTGGTATTGAATGATGATTATAAGCATTGTAGGCTAGCCTAGTGATAAAATAAAACTTAACAGAGATGCTTAGTTCAATTAAGTTTGGATATCAGGTAGCATCTTATTAAGGGTACGTGTGTGATCGGAATAGAGAGTAGAAACTCTGTTTGAGGAGATTGATGATTGATGGAGTATGTCCTACGTATAAAAGTACTTTCTATGTACCAAGTCTGTTTCAAAGCTTTGTATCTCATGTCCTTCTTGTGCCGAGGTCTTATTATGTTATGGGGTATGGGTCCTACTCATACCAGGGTACTATAATGTGCCAGAAGTACTATCATGTAAAAAGTCCTTTTTGACACTATTCTGTGTCGGAGTATGGGAGCGTACAGGAGTACTTTATTAGTATTTCCCCACACTTTTTCTTTTGATGAGCTTTGTTTGTCAGCGTTTCCTTTCACGAAGTAATCGAGGGAACTTCGTAGTCTGCCTAATAGAGTGTTTCAGTAATAGAGCACTACTAGGTATGTCTGATATTATATTGCCGGATAGGGTGAGTCTGGGGGTAAAATATCGTACGGTGTCAGATCACTGCTAGGCATAATTATTTAGATAACCACCCCTGACTTAATGGTCTTTTTGTTTTTACGAACGGAGGTTCGTGGAGAAACTTATTACATTCCCCTCATTTGATGTATTTATTGATCCTCGTTTTCTGCCAGGGAATTTCCGAAGCAGCGTTGTCAGTTCGTTGTTCATATTAATCCTTTAGGATAGATCTTGTAAGATCGTTCTATAGGATCGGTAAGTAGGAATCGACGGGATGGGATAAATTGTTTTAGAGCTATGATATATCAGTGTTAATGATAATAGTTGGTTTTGCTAGTTTGAGATATACATTATTATCACATTGTGGGATTGAAATCCCTATGTACTCACCAGGTTTCCCAACCTGGCCCACTCAGTTTATTGTATCACATGTGGCTATATGAAAAGATACATTTTGCTGAGAGATTCAAGGAGTATTAGGCCACTAGTTTAATTACTATAAGGCTTGTAATAATTCGTTATGCTTATGTTTCTGTATTGACGATGACATCCCAATGTTGTAATATAAATAAAATACATTCCTTCGGAAATGCTTTGATAATATCATTATCATGTTTTCTGGGAACAAATTCCGCAATATTATTTTTCAAAAAGGATACTCTGATTTTTAAATAAGCATAAGCAAATTGGTCTTTTCTGGCCGTGAAATTGGGGATGTCACAAACCAAAAGATGCACCCTGCAGCTGATCAAAGAGGTCATCAATTCGCAGAAAGGGATAACGGTTCTTCACCGTTAACTTGTTCAACTCCTAGTAATCAATGCACATCTAGTGTGAACCATCCTTCTTCTTGACAAACAATATCGGCGCTCCCCACGGAGAACTGCTCAGTCTGATGAACCGATTGCCTAACAGCTCCTGCAGCTGAGAGGAAAGCTCATGCATTTCGGGCGGTGTGAAACGGTACGACACTTTGGCAATTGGAGCCGCACCTGGCACTAGATCAATCATGAACTCAACCTGCCTCTTGGGAGGCACACCGATTAACTCCTTTGGGAATACATCGGAAATCTCCCTAACAACGGGTACATATGAAACCAAGACCTGCTCCCTACCCGAGTATCAACCACATAAGAAGGGTAACCTGCACACCCATGCTGAATATACTGTCGAGCCCTGGTTGCCGAACAAAACCCTAAACCAACCCTGGTACCCTCTTCATAGATAACCAGTTCTCCCCCACTTGGGGTTCGAACTACCACTCGCCGACCCTCTCAATCGATCATAGCACCAAACCTGCTCAACCAATCCATCCCCACTATCACACACATATCCCCCATGGGGATAGGGATCAAATCAATGAGATAAGGAACCCTGAAGATCTCCAATACACAACCCCGATACACTCTGGATGCAGAAACCCCGTTTTCGTTGGCGATATCAACTCGCAACGGACACTCCAACTCACTAAGGAGCATACCAAAATCCCTACTAAAAGATCTAGACACAAAGGACCAACTCACGCCTGAGTCAAATAACACAAGATCATGTAACGAGTTCACTAAGGACCAACTGGCGCTGCTCTGGCCTGAGTCAAATAACACAAGATCATGTAACGAGTCAAATAACACAAAGGACCAACCGGCGCTGCTCTGGCCTCCTCGGCAGTGAGCTGAAAAGAACGGCTCGAAGCCCTCAGGGGGCTCCGCTCTCCCATGACGTCAATTGGTGATCCTCAAAGTGGCTGGCGCCGGGGCCTGTGCCGACTTGGCGAAGAGCAATGGAGAGTTGACCTTCATATGGCCGACCTGATCACAGTGGTAGCAAATTCTGGTACTCGGAACTGGGGCCGGCTGGCGACAATCCCTCACATAGTGCCCCTCCTTGACACAATTGTGGCATCTAGACATAAGCCGACAAGGACCCTCGTGAACCTTTCCGTACTTTCCACAAGTACGGCCCCTCTAACTCCCAGACCTCACATCAGCGGCCATAAACCGCTTCGCCACAGGCTGCAACTGCACATGGGCCTGCCTCTTCTCTCTTTTCTGGAGCTCCATCTCAATCTCACGCCACCTCGCGACTTCATGTAACTCAAGTAGTGATCCATAACGCTGAGTAGACACGAAATGGCGGATGTCCGTCTTGAGCATGCTCAAGTAATGAGTCATCTGAGCTTGCTCAGAAGCAGCAAGCTCATGGCGAAATATAGCTCTCTCTGTGAACATCTTGGTGATCTTCGTCGCCGACTCGATCCACTGTCTAATATCCAAGTACTCCTGAGCCGACCTCTCCCGCTCCACCAATGGAACGTACCTAGAGCGGAAAATCTCATAGAACTGCTCCCATGATACTACAACTCTCTGCTGTGGAGTGTAAGAACTAGTAATCAGTCACCACCAATCCTTCGCTCCGGACCTAAGAAGGTTCAGAGCGCACTTGACCCTCTGGTCAGCTGGGCAAGAGCAAGTAAAGAAACATCCCTCAAAATATGATAGCTACCTCATGGCAATTATCGGATCCTGAACCCCGTCAAACACTGGGGGCTTCATATTATCGAAGTCCCGATACTGAAAAACCCTCTCAACGCCAATCCCCACAGCAGCAACGACTGTGGTGGCTGCAGCAACAACAACCTCTGAAATTGCAGCGTATCGGTTCGAAGAACTCTATCATAGCAGTCTTGATAGACCCAAACAGCTCCGGTATCTGCTCTCGGACAATAGAAACAACCTCCTCGCGAAGGATCTCCCTAACCCGGTCCTCGGTCGATCTTGGCCCATCCTGGCCACCTGCTCCGCCTCCTGATCCCAATATGTCCTCTTTTATTGGCTACTTGGATGTGGATTGGGCCCATTGTATTGAAACTTGAGAGCTCCATATACGACTATTCTATCTTCCTTGGTGGTACTCTTGTGTCTTGTGCTAAAAATAAACCTCATAGTTTCCTGTTCTAATTGTGAGTCTGAATATCAAACTATTGAAAATATCGCTACTATAATGGTCTGAATTACACACCTTCCTTGCAAACTTCTTGCCTTGCCTCCCGATCGACTAATATTGTTGTGTGACAACCGGAATGCTCTCGATCACATTACTCTCTTTCTTATCTCCCATAAATGCGCCAATCAAATTGACATTTATTATAGATTTGCGAACTTGTTTCTTCTGACTATATGTATACCCGCTTTATAACAACCATGCACATTTTAATTAACTAGCAGACACTTTTACCAAGAGTCTACCGTGCCCTCTATTTGAATAGTTGTGTGCGAAGGTATGTGTTTGTCTTCAACCTCTTCGCTTGACGGGGGTATTAGGGATAGGATTTGATAATTATTGTATTTCATGTAATTTATGATAGTTTGTTAAAACCATATCTTTTCCCTATTGTATATCCTTGTACTATATAAACTCTTGAATACATACAATAAGATTCAGGTGATTTTATAACCCTTATATTATTCTATATATTTATACAATTTAAAACCAGTAATGTTTTATAAAATGAGGTTTTTAACGGCCAGAAACTTGAACACTGGAGGCAGTGGCATTAGAGGACAATGATATCGAGGTATCAATTGGAATCTTTATATCATCTTCGTGAAAGGTAGATCTTACTGGTGGTATTTCATCTAGAGATTTGTCACTTAAAAGCGTAACAACTTCAGACATTGCCGGCCTTGCAGAAACCTGTGTCTGAGTGCACATTAATGCTATCTCTATTATCTTCATTACATCTTCTGCTGCATATTCACTAGCATCTAGCCTGTTGTCAATTAGATTCACATGTGTTCCATTCTCGTATAGATTCCAAGCCTATCATACACATAATAGAATAAAAGTAAATAAGACTTCACCAAGTTTATGATATCTTCATATAATAAATCATTGCATCACTTAATGCACTACAACTAAGAAACAAGAAGAGAAAGCAACACTATAGAAGATCATTGATCCTTGACTTTACGAATCTTACATGATCAAGGAGGCTTTGATTAACTGATTTATCATCTATGACATCGTGGCACCTCTTGCCACTAATGATTTCAAGGACCACAATACCAAAGCTGTATGTATCCACTTTCTCAGACAATTGCCCATGAATAGCATATTCTGGTGCTACATAACCACTATCCCTGGTAAGATTAAACATGTTTATTAGGGACAAATTTTTATCAGGAGAACAAGAGAAGTAAGAACTGGTAGACAATTTATATGCATTCATTTAAACATACAAGGACCCTGCCAGTTTGGTGCTAAGATGAGTCTTGTCTTCTGGTAGGAGCCTTATCAACCCAAAATCTGCGATTTTGGGCTGTAGTTCATCATCAAGGAGAATGTTGCTCGTTTTTATATCCCTATGAATAATGGTAACATGATATTGTTCATGTAGATATGCAAGACCCCTTGCTGTCCCAAAGATAATCTCAAACCTCTGTCTCCAACTTAGGTTCCTTGATTTGTCACCTGTCCATAAAAAGTAACTTCAGCAGATGCAAAATGGAGATAAACTCGAAGAACTCATAAGCTAAATAAGATGCTTCAACTCACCATAAAGGAATTGATCAAGACTACCATTGTCCATGAACTCGTGGACAAGAAATAAGAGCGGCCCTTTGCTACAATATCCAAGAAGTCGAATAAGATGTCGGTGATGAACATTGCTAATGATCTTAAGTTCATCATCAAAGTGTATTTTTCCTCTAGTGGAGGCCATAACTGTTTTTTTAATTGCAACAGTTTCCCCATCTTTTAGAGTGCCCTGCATAACATTACCATATACAAACAGTGAAGTGAAGTAAATGACCATACTATCAATCATGGGTTCATGCATCAAATGCCGGTTATTACACTTTATCTTCTAAAAAATACAATTATGTTAGTACTCTGTCTCTAGTAAGAAATATATATTTTCAACCTTAAGTATTACCTTATATACTTCACCAAACACCCCACCTCCAATTTTGTACTCGTCACTAAAGTTCTCAGTGGCTACTTTTAAATCATTGTAGCTATATCTTGCTGGACCTTGTAGCAACTCAGTTGATCCAGTTGATTTATCTTCAGATTGGAAACAAAAAATAAAGGGAACAGATCAGGAAGATGTAAATATGCTCTAAGATATCCAGTACAATGTTAGACCAACATAAGTTCACATAGTAATCAAACAGTTATTAGTTACAGAATTCCATGCAAACTGGTGAATCTGTTGTTTACCTTGTTGGCTACGACTCGTCTTTTTTGATCTGAGACGCCATAAGACAAATGCAAGAACAAGCAACAGAAGGCATACACCTCCAACGACTCCCCCAATTATGGACCTCTTGTTTGAATTTCCTATGTTGCGTAGATATGAAAAGAAATATTCATCAATACAATACTTTATACCCAATAACTTGAAAAGGGTGGTTTCTAAAAGAGTAGAGGTCTCACCATCCCAAAGGAGAGGTGTGATATTAGTTGTCTGGTTTTGCCCAAAAAACGGAGTGCTGGAATACCTCATAAAACAACCATTGTCAATAGCTCGACCATTAGTGTTGGGAAGACAATCATCTAAAGAACTATATCTTGAAATTCAAACAATCTTCACAAACACTTTGGCTTAAGTTTAGATTGCATTGGGCAATCCCGTAAACTGTTCCAGAACGATCAGGTAAAGCCCTTGTGGAAACTGCATAAAAATCTGATGTTCTTGGTGTTGCTGTTCGAAGGTCTGATATCAATCCTTCTACCGTTTTTCTGAACTCTGTTTGCTGCGGCGATTTTGTATTACCACACATTACAATACCAGCCCGAATGTTGGCATCCGCATAGAAGTTATTATTCTCGTATCTACATCATAATTATATTTTATTATACCTTTTTTGATGAGGATGAATAATTTAGAAACATTAAATTTATCTTGATATTAATACTTTAATACTTGAAATATAAAGTTTCTGAAGTTGACTTTCCATTGGGAGATGGAGTATTTCGTTAGAAAACAAAGTAATAACAAACTTCTCTTACTAATCTTGATCTATACAAAAATTGCATAATAGATGGATTGCATAAAAAATCGAAAACGAAATAAATTAAGTCATATACAACTATACAAGTAAGAAATTTAAAGAGCATAAGCACCTGAGATCGCAGTCATTGTAAAAAGCATGAGCTCCATTGCCACGCCCACAAACTCTCAACTGAGAGACAGCATAGTCAAAACAAGCAACACAATTGGTGGTGGAGACATATCCCCGGCATGAGGCAAGGCCCCAAACGGACTCTCCATTGAGCAAAGTACGTGCAACAGCATAGCGTACACGGTTCACCAACAGCTGCCGGCGGAGGCTAGAAAGGGTGGTGTTGAGATTCCGGTAGAAATATGTTTCGTTCATACCGAAATATTGACTACAATAATATCTCATCAGAGTGCTATTTCTATCACTAGACGTCTGTGATGTCACAGGCTTTGCCATGGATAGGAACATCATCATCACCATCAGACAAGCCAGCCGCCATGAGAACAAGCTTTTTTCCACTTGTTTCAGGTTCATCTCTGGTTCTGTACTTCTGCTATCTGGGTTTCTCCTTTAATATATAATTGATGTTTCGGTAATGTAAGAAGAAAAATATTCCTAAAATGATATAGGAGACGAGGGGAGAAAGTCGTTTCAGGGAATTGAAAATTCAATTTCAAATGTTATTTTCCATCGGTCAATAGCGGGTGCCGAACAGATAGATACTATTTGGGTAGTGATTATTTTAGCTGGTTGACGAATACTTTTGTGGGCGAAATGGAACTCCTCATCCAGCGAGGACAAAGTGGCTATTGTTTTGAGTTTGAAACTTTTTTTCTTTTTTTTTGGAAATTAAGTAATCTAATCATTAAATAAAATTTTCAAAAAAAACAACCATTTTTTTCAGTTTTTTTGAAAATAAATATTTTCTCGAGAATGTCTAATTCCGGAATACTATTTAAATCCTTGGAGTTTTTTTTTTCCAAAAAATATTTTTATTGTTTCTTTTGGATTTCGAATCCTACATTTTGAAATGTTTGATGTGACCGTATATAATTCATATTATTATATTTGTTTAACTTTTTGGTAATTTTAATTAAAAATGATTTATTTCCGTAATTGTTCTTTGGATTTTGAATTTGTTCTTGAAATTTCGGAGCTTTTCTTTTCAAAATCCAAAATTTAAGTCCAGAATCTTGAATGTTGGTCCGGAATCCAGTCATTCCAGAATCGGTCAAAAAAGATTATTCTAGGGTTTGACTTAGAGGTATTTTAGGTATTTTGACCTATATGCTGAGATTGTGTCCTTGAATTTATTAAGGTGATTGGTAGATCTGATCTCGGAGCGGCGTGCTATTCAGATTGCTTATCTGTTTGTGAGGTGAGTTTTCTCACTGTATTCATGGGTCCAAGGCACTAATGCCGGCCCATTATTGTGTTACTCAGAATGATAGTACTATGTGGTTTATCTGTGATTGTATGATGGGTTGAAATATACCCAAGGGTGGGGCCCACTATAGTATGCTTGGGTTAAAATATACCCAAGGGCGGGGCCCACTACAGTATGATCAAGTTGAAATAGACCCCAAGGCGGGGTCCATATGTGTGTTCGGGTTGGATTATACACGAGGGTTAAGCCCAATTGTATGTTTGGTATCTGGTACTGTAACGCTTGGTCCAAGTATTATTCATTTCTCAACATGTTTTTAAGGATTTGGGTTGGAACTCGACGAGTTGGGGAGCTCCAACTCGACGTGTAGGAATCTATTTGGTCGCGGAGTGTAATGGTCCAACGCGACGAGTTAGAGAGCCCCAACTCGACGAGTTGACGACCAAAGATGAAACCCTAATTTTATGGTGTTGCACCCAATTTAAAGGACTTAAACTCTCTTGGTTGGCCTCCCTACCAACCTCCCTGTCCAGAGAAACCCTAGATTCGTTTTCCATCTTGCATCTTGAGTGTGGTGAGCTTAACAGAGTGGTTTTTGGTGATTCTTGAAAGGAGCTTGAAGGTGGGAAGCATCTAACTTGAAGGAGGGGCTTTAGATCCAGAAACTCTTCTTCAAAGGTAGCATTTTGAGGTATAAATTTGTCACATTGTCATGTATTCATCTAGATCTCCTTATTTGAAATTTAAGCATGATTTTGGGGGTTTTGGTTGAGTTGTCCAAAACATGTGGGTTGCAGGGGTTGTCAAGCTAGATCTGACCCCTTCATGACCTCTTGAAGCTTAAAGTTGCAAACTTTATTGGTCCCTATGTCCCATTCATGCAATATGTCCATTATGCAGTCATAAATGACCTTTAGAGGGCATTTCTAGCATGCATGGACGTAAAGTTGGAAACTTTACGTGTTTTGCCTACCTTGGGACACCAGATCTGTGTTTTGGAGCATTGGAGTGAGAGTTTAAGGGCTTAATGGGTCAAGACCCTCTTAAAAGGACCTAGGGTTTGAGTTTGAAGATTTATGGATGGTCGTTGAGGGTAAAGTTGGAAACTTTACCCTTCTAGACATCATTTTGAAAGGGATCTGAGGTTTGGAGTGTTTGGATTCAAAGAAAACGGCTTAATGCAATAAAAAGTGGGTTTTTTGGCCAACTCGACGAGTTCATGAGTGAACTTGTAACGCCCGTAGATCCGGGCTAGTCAATTTAGAGACGATAAGCGTCAAAAATGACTTTTTGATAGAAGATTATTTAGGATGAATAATATTAACTAAGTTGTAGTATATGTTACAAGGATTTCGTACATATAAAGAACGTTGAAATCCGAGTTATAACGAAGAAGTTATGACCTGTCGAAGTTTCGCGACAGAACCGGCACGACACAGCGCGATGTAAATAGTGAATTTACGTTAGAGCGATATTTGGCCTTAGCAATCTAAATGAAAGTCGTAGAATACGTTAAACCGAGAGCGTGCATAAAAAGAACGCCCAAATCTGACTTCGTATGAGGAAGTTGTGATTTTCCGAAGTTTCGACTTAGCAGTGTGCAGCCCGAATACTCGATTTGAGATCGAGCGGTGTTTTAGCCGAAAAATCTAAACGAGAATCGAAGATCTCGTCAATGGTAGTGCAACGGTAAAAAGACAGACGAAAACGGACTTCGGATGAAGAAGTTATGAATTTATAACGGAGTTTTCCTGTCCCGGCCTACTAAAAATAATATAATAGAAATATAATAAAAATAAATTCAAAATTAGCCAATGGAGTCTAAACGAGAGTTGTAGAGCATAATCTCACCTTCGCGTGGATATAAAGAACTTCAAAAACGGAGCTCGTATGCGAAAGTTATGAATTTCTGAAGTTCGGGGCGTGAACCCCAAGGGTGTCACAGTTCACGAGGTGAGTATTAGAAACTCACGAGGTGAACAGATGATGGACGTCTTCCAGGGCAAGTGGCCATGACGAACGCAATGACGTATCGAGCTCACGAGGTGAATATTAGAAACTCACGAGGTGAGTCAGTTCACGAGGTGAATATTAAAAACTCACGAGGTGAACTCAAAAAATTCACCCTATAAATAGAAATCGAGGGTCAGCCGATTTTGGTTGCTCATCTCTTACTCTCCCACTCCCGATACTCTCTCTAAGCCCTATTTTAACCCCCCGAAGCCCCGGTATCATTCCCGAGACCCGGAGCAAGTCCCGAAGCCCTGAAGATCCCGAGAAGTGCAATTCCCGAGCCGAAGCTCTGCCAGCGAGAAGCCAATTTTTGTGAAGATCTTCCAGATCTACCGAAGAATACTACTTCTACAAGCCGTAGTGCTGTCCGATCATCTTCTGATCAACTGAGTGTGTAGTTACTTTCTTCTAACGCATAATTATGAAGTATTTTATATGAAATACATGTTATGTGTATATTTTGTTGTTATATGTGTGAATGTATATTCACTTTCTTCTATCTCATAGATATGATTTCTTCTCTATGAAATACGTGTTATGTGTGTGTGCCTCATCTGTTATGTGAAATATGTATTGAATGAACATGCTATACAGGTTTTAAACTATGTATAAAAATATATATTTTTATCTACTAATATGTTGGGTAGAACATGGGTAGATAGTTGATGTGTGATAAACAGATGAGAGGCCTCGATGTTGTTGTTGATGTAGTCATCTAGCGGAGTATGGATGACGACCACAGACTCTTTCTAGACAGTCCAGTGGAACGCTAGCAGGCTCATAACATGTAGGTGTTGTGAACGATGTGTTCACCGGTGTACTCTATCCCCCTCATGGTTGCCTTTAGGACATCTATTGTTGAGGAAACCCCTTGTAGTAATGTCCGTCTCGGTGAAAAATCCTAGATTAGGTCCCTTGAGATAGATGTTGTTTTAGGGACGTAAAGTGAGGATAACGGGAATGGGTAATCGGGTTATTGTTGGTTGGTGAAATTAAATATAATTATTTATTGTGGGTTGAAAACCCTATATGTTCACCAGGCTCCCAAGCCTGACCCACTCAGTTTTGTTGTATTATAGGTAGTGGCGCGAGAGCATAAGTTGGATGACTTATCAAGATCTTTTGATATTAGACCAGTTGTTATATGTAACTGTTGTATGATCTATCTTTTGTTGTTTATGCTTTTGGTCTGTTTATCGGAACATGACATCCCGAATATTGTTATATAATGAAAATGCATCTCTTGATGAAATGCTTTGATAAACTTTATTTTATCATATTTTGTTTTGGGAACAAATTCCGCAACTCTTTCAGATCAATGGATTTACTCTGAAACTATTTTAAAAGCATAAATGAAATCGGTCTTTTCTGGCCGTGATTTTGGGGATGTCACAGAACTCGACGAGTTGGTGGGACTTTTCGCGATCCGGCCAGTCAACAAGGGAACTCGACGAATTGAGTCAACTCGGAATGTGGACCTTGACTTTGACTTTGACTAATGTTGACTTTTAGGGTTTGAAGTATTGTGTTGAATCTAAGGAGTTGAATATGTTTAGGGATTGAGTAGAGTAGATACTCGGAGCTAGGGACTATTCGGCTACTGTCAGTATTTGAGGTGAGTCTTCTTACCACACTCATGGGTCGAAGGCACCAACGCCGACCCATTAATTGATATGATATGTTTGTATTGAATGGGAAATGATATGTTATTTGATTTATGAATGGGTTTATGTGAAGACCATGGGGGGAGCCCATGGCACTTGTCAAGACCATGGGGGAGCCCATGACATAAGGATATAAGACCATGGGGGTAGCCCATGGCATTCCATTGAAGACCATGGAGGGAGTCCATGGCAATTTGTATGTATATGTATGACCATGACATTATGTGATTATATGTTTTGTGTGATTGGGAAACTCACTAAGCTTGTGCTTACAGTTTATTTGTATGTTTCAAGTACTTCTATTGGTAAGGGAAAGGACCCGGCTTGATGACGAGGCATGCATTCTCTGGTATTTTCACATTTGGTCCTTTGTACTTTGAATTTTCAAAATAACATGGATATGTATTGGGATTTTTATATTTACTATGTTTGATGTTATGAAAATAAAAGTTTAAAATTTTATGAAAATTGGGCTATTACAGGTACTTTGGAGAACTCACTAAGCTTTATGCTTGTAGTTTATGTTTATGGTTTCAGGTACCTTCGGATCGAAAGGAAAGGGAATGGCATGATGGCACAACATCCT